AGAAGTTTTTTGGACATGTTGGCAATCTATGTGTTAATAATTATTTAAGTTTTTTAGTCCCCTTAAATAAAATCAATTATTTACTTTTTTGAAATAGTTTAGTGTTTTTTTGAATACAATTTTAAAATTTCTATATTTTCACAGTATTTTAAAAGACACTTATCTTGCTTAATTCCTTACCTTAATAATAAATATTTATATTAGCCCAGCTGAAAGTGCGAAAGAAAAAATTACCTCCTCAATTTTTAAATTCTGTTTGTTTCTTTTAAACCTAAATCCTAAATTGATAACTGAGCTAAAAGAGGCTACGGGTTTGATAAAACTCAGTATAAAATATATATTAAGACATCAAGGATTACCGAAGATTTTATCCCAAACCCTCTTCGGTTTATGATCGACATTAAAAATCTCTGGATAGTATTTTTTTAAATTCTTGTTTGAAAATGAAAAGGGGAGAAACCAATTTACTAATGGTGAGGTTTTCCTGTTAACCTTTCCGAGAGATTGTGAAATGTTGTCAAATCTAAAAATACCATCTAATCGATGGATTCGTAAAGATTTACAAAAATGTATGAATAGTAACAATGATGCATGGCTTAGTGACTACGAAATTGGCAATAGCTTTGATTCTGCCACTGAAACAGTAAAATCCGTCCACCATTTTTTCCTTAAAGTAGTGAGTGTAATTGTTTATTATGATCTGAAATGTGTGTGGTTTACAATGATTGTAAAAAATTTAACTTATTTAAGCTAATTGGTAAATTTATTTTTTAAATGTAATTCATAACTTGATCCTTTTATTTAAGATTTTATTTTTTTAAAATACTAGTATATTTTTTTACTGCATTATTCTTTGAATCGTTTTGAATTTTAAAAATTAAGCAGATATGTTGACTTTCTTTTCAAAGTGCCTTCTAAATAAATTTACAAACTCTCAGCACCCACCGTCAAATTACGCATATTTACTTAAAGACCTTTTTTAATTAAAGACTGTTTGTATTTTCGAGGTAGGTGGTACACAGGTCTGTAATAAAAAAAAATGGTTGGAAATAAAGTTTGTGTTAGTCACTAATAACTTTAAGTAACATCTACTTTTTGCAGCATGTTTTTATCTTCTTTTTTATAAATGTATATCTACATAATTTATTTATAAACATCTACTAGGAAACTAAGTTCCTGTAGCTGGCTGTATACCATATATCACAAAAAAATTATTTCAAATCCTTTTTAAAAGGTATATAATAAAATGCCCAAACGGGCTATCACAATTACATTACAGAACGTTTTCGGATTGTTAAATCCATCATCAGTGTAAATGAGGTAAAAATGCTATGAGCCACCAAAATGTATGGGTCAAAACCCTTTAAATGTTATAAATTTACAGTTGTTTTACATTATATATAGTTACAAATTAGGATGTTTAAGTTACATTTGGAATTGGTAACATGGTAACGTATGACCCTACATAGGTAAAATGGTCCTGAGACGAAGTGTCTTCGAGGACCTGTTGTTATCAGCATGGAAGGCAGGGAAGGCAACGGGAAACCACCCCAATTATTTTTCCCGAGTAAAGTTAACATGGCTCAATACAATCGTAACGGAAGTATTACTGATCATGGATCACGGAAACCAAGGTAACCCCGGCAGGGAAGCACGCGCACCAGACTGTAGGGCCTCCCCGATCGTCATCATACCAAATCCCTACAACTTTAGAAGTACGACAACTTTAAAAATGTTTAGCAGTACAATCAGATTAGGTACCTGGAACGTTAAACGCCTCTATGCAGCAGGAAAGCTCAGTAACTTAGTACAAGAGGTTAAACGTTTAAAAATTGATATAATGGGCATCAGTGAGCTCCGGTGGCTTGGAACGGGAATATGTAAACAAGATAAGGGCACACTATACCATTCTGCTTGTGTAGAAGATGACACACATCATAGGAATGGAGTTGGCTTATTTATAACGACTAAATTTAAGAAATATGTGAAAAATTTTATACCAGTGAACGACAGACTAGCAATACTCCAATTAAACAGCAAACCATTTAATGTCAATGTTATCCAGATATATGCCCCTACTGTAGAAAAGAAATATGACAATGATGTCGAATCATTCTATAGCCAATTAAAACAGACACTTTAAAATCTAAAAATTAACGAAGTCACATATATTATTGGAGATTTTAACGCAAAAATTGGCCAATGCCGAAGATCTGACCTGGTAGGTGAATATGGACTAGGGGAGAGCAATGAAAGAGGCGATAGATTATACCAGTTCTGTCAAGAACATGACATGATAATCGCAAATACATGGTTTAAATTACACAAAAGAAGGTTATACACATGGAGGGGACTAGGAGATAATTCACTATATATGATTAGAAATCAGATAGACTATATTCTGGTAAACAAGAGATTTAAGAATGGCGTCACCAGGGTAACGACATATCCTCGTGCAGATATCGGTTCAGACCATAACCCTGTAATAACTGACATCAAAGTGAAGTTCAAAAAAGTTTAAGAAAGCCCTAAAACACCAAAATGAAATATCTCAATATCCAACAAAACGTTAATAGAAAATGATTTGAACAATGAGCTAAAGAAATCAATAAATGAAAACAACACAGAAATATGGAACACATTTAAAGGTCTTACCTTGAAAGTAATAGAAAAATATTTATCGACGTTACATGGGAACAAAAAACAACAATGGATGACTGATGAAATCCTGGAATTAATGGAGCAGAGAATAAAACTGAAAGGTAACAAGACAGAATATAAGGAAAAACAGAAACTAATTAAACAAAAAATAGAGGTGACTACAGAAAAATTGATGGAGGATAAATGCAAGGAATCAGAAAAGTTAAATGAAAAATATGATACGTTTAATATGTTTAAAAAGGTTAGAGAAGTAGCTGGTCTTTATCATAAGAAAACTCCACATACTATAACCGATTCGTCGGGAAAAATGATAATAGACGAACATGAAATTCGAACAAACTGGTATAATTATATAAGTGAACTGTATAATGATGATAGACCCGAAGAACCGAAGACTTTAGTTGAAGGTAAAGGACCAGAAATACTGAAATCAGAAATACTGCATGCTATAGAGCTAGCAAAGAACAAGAAATCCGTTGGCCCTGATAACATACCGACAGAGATGTTAAAGCTTCTAAATGAGGAGAACATTGGAATACTGGTCAAACTTTTCAATGATGTTTATGCGACTGGTAATATCCCTGAAGATTGGTTAAAGTCCGAATTCATAACACTACCAAAAAAACAATGTCCGAAAAACAGTAGCGATTATAGAATGATAAGCCTTATGAGCCACACTTTGAAAATATTTCTACGCATCATCCACAGTAGAATCAGAGATAAATGTGAAGAAGATCAGGATGAAACACGATTTGGTTTCAGAAATGGACTGGGAACTCGGGACGCCCTCTTTGCACTAAATGTATTACTGCAGAAATGTCGAGATCAAAGGAAAGACGTCTTTGCTGTATTTATTGACTATGAAAAGGCCTTTGATCGAGTACAGCATCACAAATTAATTACAATATTAACGTTATTAAGATAAAGAAGTTGATAGTCAAGACATACGATTCATAGAAAAGCTATACTGGCGTCAAACAGCGACAGCTTGCATGAACGGAAAATCAACAGAAATATGTAAAATACAAAGAGGTGTCAGACAGGGTTGTATACTATCCCCACAGTGATTTAATTTATATTCAGATAGAATATTTAAAAAAAACGCTGCATAATTTGGAATGGGGCGTGAAAGTTAATGGAATTCTGATAAATACAATCAGATATGCAGAAGATACAGTTATTTTAAGTGATGACATTAATGGATTACAATGCCTTTTAAATGCCATTGATACAGCGGGAAGAGAGTTTGGCCTAAACATAAACTGTTCAAAACAAAACACATGGTGTTTAGCCGTTTAGCACATCATGATGCACGATTATATGTTGATGGTCATATAATTCAAAGAGTGTCCAGTTTTAAATATCTTGGTTGCCATATTACTGAACAACTAGATCCAGATCAAGAGATAAAATGTAGAATCGAGATAGCCCGCACGACATTTTTAAAAATGAGGTCATTCTTCTGTAATGATAACTTGCAACTTCAACTTCAAAAGCGCATGGTTAAATGCTACATTTGGTCAGTCCTCTTATACGGTGTCGAAGCATGGACATTAAAAATATCCACCATTAATCATTTGGAGGCCTTTGAAATGTGGCTGCACAGACGTATACTAAAAATTCCATGGACGGCTATGCTGACAAATGTGGCAATCCTTGAGAGAGCAAATGCTAATCGCGAGCTGTTTGATAACATCAAATGTAGAAAGATGGCATATTTTGGACACGTAGTAACGAAAGACCAATATAATATTCTTCAACTTATTATGATGGGTAAAATCGAAGGACGCAGAGGAATTGGTAGAAAGCAGGCCTTTTTGGTTGAAGAATATCAGGGAGTGGACAGGAATAAAGAAAGCTGAGCAACTCTTTAGAAAAGCTCTGAAGAAGACTTACAGTTGCTGCAGTGTTAGCTACTTACAAAAAATTATTCCTGAGATCAAGGTTTTTGTTAACTTTTATGATAGTTTAATAGTTATTATGTTATTCGAGGCGAAGACAAATCGAAGACACTAAATTTTAATATAATCGGTAAAGCTGTTCTTGGCTTTTAAATAGTATATTATAATAGACTATATTTTTACCTTTGGTATCTGTGACAAACGTGTGTAACCGGTCCTGTAACGGACTACCTACAATTTACATTCAAATTGGGAACACGAGGGTTAAAGCATCATCAAGTGTTAATTTAATTAGGCCTAACGAAACGTTAGCATCAGTCCTCTATCTGCCATCCCTTTTTTTTTCGGCAGTGCGCTGTGAAGTAAGTACAATTTGTCCACTGCAAAATCAGTTTCGAATTATAGGGGCTAATTGTCAGATTTCACTTATAATGAAAGATGACGAGGGTAGGTAAGTGAATTTCAGAACGAATAAGTCTAAAAATATATGAGAAGTTTAAATTAATACGGGTCGGGTAAGGTCCATAAACATCAAATTATACAAAAAATAATATGTCTACTGGTTTGTTTTAAACAATGATCAATTAATATTGTTTGGAAGCTATTTCTTGTAGTATCTTAATAGTTATCAAATATCTTGTTGAGAATAAATATACACAAAAGCAATTATACTTTTCAAGATAATTTTTTATTTTTCAATTTTAACCTGGACGCAATTTTAACCGGTGATTCGATAGGTGAAATTTTGTAACGTTCTTCGACACGTAGGATGTGACAAACCCCAAGTTGAAAATATACTCATTCCTATATTTCGTAGATTTTTATAAGAATATGTAATACCATAGCTTCAGGATACATTCCGGTAATAAATTCCTGAAGAACAATTGCTAGTAATAGTTTACTATTGAACATACAGATTGAACGAACTTAAAACGGATCCTACAATTTATTATTATGTTTGTTTGAACTGCATTTGAAATAGTGGACCAATATAAAACTTGGACAAAAATAAATCCATACCTGGGTATAGACATTGTATAAAATATCGTTCATCTATCTGTCTCGCAACAATGTTGTTTACGTAACAATGTTGCCAATCGTCATGTAATAATCCGATTTGCTAATCTTTTTGAGACTTATATCTTCTTCGGATCTTTAAATAAATCGAATATTTGCCTATATTTTTCATTGTATTTACCAATCTACTACAACAGACTAATAACAAAAATAGACTTAATGATTTGTAGTTATTTCCTTTCTGTCCTGTAAATATTTTCTGGTTAACACCTTAACAATGAGGTTGGCAACACCGCTCAGAGAAGGGCTTGTCTAAGGAAGCGATAATAGTTCAGGAAATAAAGCTCGAAAAAAGTTAAAACTTCGCAATTTTTTCGTCCTGCATGGATTGAGTTGAAATTTTAACAGAAGGTAGGTGATAGCCCAAGGATCAAAATCTATATTGAACCGAAGTGCGCTGAAGGGTTAAAGGGGTGAAAACTACCCCTAATTGTCAAAAATTATAAAATAACATATTAAACCTGAATATTGGTAAGATTTGGTTTGAATTAGTTAAATAATGATTATTTTATACTTTTGAATAGAGTTTCATCATATTTTAAGCCTTAAAGCAACCAATGTTAGAGATCAATTTAAAAAAAATACCTATTCTAAAAAAATGATTTCGCCTTGGATCGATTTGGATAAAAAGTTGGATTTAAGCTTAATTCATCCGCCACTTTATAGTTTATCTCATGTCGACGAACCCTGATTGTTTTAGGGGTGAAAACTACCCGTAATTGTCAAAAATTATAAAATAACATTACAAATCTTAAGATAAGTGAAATTTGGTTTGGATTAGTTAAATAGTGATTTTTTTATACTTTAAAATACAATTTCATACATTTTCAACCCTTAAAAATTAATTGTTATGAGTGCTATAGGGGAAAAACAATTTTTTGCCAAAATTTTGCAATTTATCAACTTTTGAAAATCACCCTTTACAACATTGCAACTTTTATAAACTAATTTAATGGATATAAATTGAAAAAAAGTAGAATTAAATACCAAAAAATTTATCAACATAAAAAGGCACCATATATTCTTATACATTTACATAAATAGTTGAAAATATTTACATTTATAAGTAAAACAATTATAATATTAATTGTATTCGTCATCAATTACATCTTCATCGTGATCTATGTCATCCTCATCTTCTTCAATTATTGGTGGACTATTATTGCACCCTTCCCCTGAGCACCCAGAACAAGTAGAGTTACAGTATAAACCAACTTTTCTGCACCCACATGAAACGCCGCATCCTTTTTTGCATTGGCAAAAAATAATTTTTAAAAGTTCGGGTAATAACAAACCATCTTTGGAATACCATCCCCAATCTGTTGCTCTGATATTTTCATTGCCAAGCCATAGACATATGAGCAGATGTTTTATTCTGTTGTATGGGATTTCAAAATAAGAACGCTTAAAATTTCAAATGTATAACGCCCCACTACCTAATATACCGGTTTTGTAGATTATTATGCTCCGAAATGTACTCTACTATACTAATGGAATTTTCCGGAAAAAAAATTAATTGGTTTTTTTAAAATATTTTCTTCATTTTTAACGATAAAGTCTTTCTTCAAAAACGATTTTGTAGAGGTTTTTAAGAGCTACAAGGATCTGTAAATTAAATCTTTTTGGAATCCTTGGGTTTTAAATGGGGTGAGTTTAAAGGGCTCGAAAAAGATAGTGCTTGATCGTTAATCGATGCTTTAAACGACTATACCTCGCCAAATATTTATTGTACAACAAATCTAATTAAAGGAAAAATTTAGTCATTAAAAAAGATACAATTTAGCACATTTTTATTTTTTTCATATATTTAGTATTTTCGTTCATATTTAAAAAAAGGGTAAAAAATATGAAATTGTAAATCGTTTCTCGCTTTAAGCTGTACTTTTTCTAAAATTAAGCATTTTAAATGAGTCAAACAGTGAACCTCCCAGAAAACAAAACCTCCTTATACTCACGTATGGGTCACAGACGTGGACACTCACCAAGTCCAATATGGATAAAATAGTAAAAGCACAAAGAGCGATGGAAAAATCAATGCTCAAGGTGAAACTTACAGACAAAAAAACAAACAAAGGGATTAGAAGCAAAATCAAAGAAGATGCAGGAGAACATGCTGCCAAATTAAAATAGAGCTTGACAGGTCACAATGCTCGATTGAAGGATAGAAGATGGAACCACGAAATACAACAATGGAGACCATGGTTAGCAAAGAGAAGAAGAGGAAAACCACAAATGAGATGGGCTGATAACATTAAGAAGATCGGAGGATACAACTGGAACCAAGTGACGCAAAATAGAAGACACTGGAGAGATTTGGGGGAGGCGTATGTCCAAAGTTGGATTACTTAAGGCTGAAGACGAAGAAGAACAAAAATCTTCAGACGAATTTAATACAACATCTTAGAACAGGATCCTATAACACTCACAAGAAATAATACGAGGAAAATATCTAAAATAAGGATCAAAACAAAATTTGTTTAATTTATTCATGTTTTGTATTTTAAAAACGATTTCTGAAGTGGAAATTGAAACTTAACTTTAAAGTGAAATTGTGGCTTATTTTCACTAAAAATTGTAAATTTACTGATACTGTGTCAGTATACGATTCTGAATTTTTTACTCTACCTACTCGCCTGGGATCTTGGGACTTTTTTATATTTCCGTAATTTTTTGCTTTGCCTAAAAGTCGTTTTTGCTTCGTTATCTAAGACTTATAGTCGTACTTAATAGTTTCTTAAAATATTAGCACATCTTTGAATTATTCGTAAGATTAATTCTAATGGTACGTAGTTGTTACGACAGGGATGTATCTCTCTCTTCAATCCTGACCCCCCAGGGGGAGTGTACTGGTCGACGTGATGACGTGTATTGTCCGTCTCCAGAGATCTCTGTCTCTGATCATTTCTTTTAATTCATGCATTGGTCTTTGGCATATTCCTGTAATTTGATCTATTCATCTTGTTGGGGATCTTCCTCGTGATCTTCGGCCTTCTACCTTTCCTTGTATTATGAGTCTTTCCATATTCTCTGTGCTTGCTCTCATAACATGCCTAAAATATTTTAATTGTTGGAGATGGACTTTATTAGAGAGTCGTTGGCTAACTTTTAGCTCTCTTAAAATGGAAATATTTGTTCTACGGTCGGTACAAGGTATTCGTAACATTCGTCTCCAACAGAAAATTTCAGTGACGTCTATCTTTCTGCTCTCCGATTGTCTCAGAGTCCAAGATTCACATCCGTAGGTCAGTATTGGGAATATTAAGCAGTTGATCAACCTCATCTTTATTTCTCTTGAAATTTGACAGTCCTTCCATATTTTGGTCATTTTTGCTGTGGCAACTTTTGTTAGATCACATCTACGTTTAATCTCTTCTTGTAATAACCCTGTGTTTGTGATTAATGATCCCAGATATAAGTATGAGCTCACAACCTCGAACCGGTCAATTGTGGTTATGTGTGGATGATTGTTGTATATTCTATCCACTATCATGATCTTTGTCTTTGATATGTTTAATTGCAGACCAAATATTTGACTTTCGTTTTCTATCAGTTCCATCAACTCTGCTTGACTATTTGCAAGAAGGGCTGTGTCATCTACGAAACGTAGGTTGTTTAGTTTATGACCATTTATTGAGATGCCCTTTTCCCATCCTTCAAGTGCTCTTCGCATAATATACTCCCCATATATGTTGAATAATTGTGGAGATAGTATACATCCTTGCCTGACACCCCGTTCTGGATGAAACTAGTTCGAAAGTGTGTCAAGTACTTTAACTGATCCAGTAGTGTGTTCATATAGTTCGGTTATAAGCGTAATTGGATGTTGTGGTACGTTGTTCAATTAATATTCAGAGCACATTATAAACCTAGCGGTAACGGACATAGACGAGGGAATACTTATAAACGGAGAACGATTGAACAACATAAGGTACGCTGATGATACTGTCATTTTTGCAGACAGTCTTGAAGGTCTGCAGACACTTGTCTCCAGGGTGGCAGAAATAAGTAGCAGTTTTGGCCTTGATTTAAACATAAAAAAAACCAAATATATGGTTATAAGCAAAAATAGGACACCACCTGGTCAATTACTAGTTAACCAACAACCTATACCACAAACCACCAACTTTTGTAATCTAGGTGCAACCTTAAATAAACAGTGGGACCAATCGACGGAAATTAAGATAAGGATCAAGAAGGCAAGATTAGCTTTCATCGAAATGAAAAAAAAACCTTAACAGCCACGACATAAAATTGTAAATAAAAGTTTGTTTACTAAAATGCTACGTATTTTCCGTTCTTTTGTATGGCGTGAAGTCATGGACCTTAACTGAAGCATGACTCGAAGCATTTGAGATGTGGTGCTATAGACGCATATTGTTAATTTCCTGGATAGATAGAATTACCAACGAAGAACTACTACATAGAATGGATTAAGAGCGCGAACTAGTCGTAACCATAAAACGTCGCAAACTAGAATACCTTGGCCATATAATGCGCAATGAACAACGATATGACCTACTTCGGACCATACTTCAAGGTAAAGTGCATGGAAAAAGAGGTCCAGGACGAAGAAGAATATCCTGGCTGCATAACCTGCGAAAATGGTTTAACCACTACCGGATTTTTTAGGGCAGCAGTCAACAAAGTCAGAATAGCTATGTTAGTGTCCAACATCTGTAACGGATAGGCATCATAAGAAGAAGAGAAGTAGGTGTTACAACTGGCTAGTTTTATATTGTATTATGGTATTATTTTGCAGTAAATTGCATAAATCTTATAGTCCATCTTTATGTGTTTTAAATTTTAAACAATTTTTATGTCGCAGACCTGTGTAATCCATCCGTTATACGTTATTGGTCCTAGGAGAAAAGTATTTGAGTGTGTCTATACATACGCAATATCCTCAAAAGTTTAATGTTTGGACTGGAATTATGAAAGACCATATTATTAATCCCTTTTATATTAAGGGCAATTTAAACGCAGTCAAATATATCGAATTACTGCAAAATCAAATTATTCCTGCACTTCAACCTCCTTAAATTAACTTCAACGAAATTTGATTGTAATAAGACGGCTGTCCTGCTTATAATGCAAAAGCCGAGAGAATATTTAGCGTTAATTTTTGCTGAACGTATCATTAGTACAGACGGTACAATAAAATAGCCCCCTCGGTCACCCGACTTAGCTCTTTTACATTTTTATTTTTAGGGGATGCTAAAAACGAAATTGTACAGGCATGTGTTCGAGCGTGCCACCAACTAGGAGTAACTGAAGTAAAAGACAATCCAACTTAGCCAAAACATATCGACAGATGAACTCAACGCCATGAGAAATGCGTTGTATAATAGATTTGGTTAATGTTCGTTACAATTTGGTTGTCTGTTGAACATTTAATTACATAAGAATTTGGCTTAGAATTTCTAATTGTTTGGAGTTATTTTTAATTTAAACAGTAGTGTTGGAGTTATTTTTTATTTGAGTTCATTTTTATAGAACAAATTTTATACTTTTATACTAATTTTACCGTCCATTCGAATGTATGCCAAGTTATCTTGATATAGTCGGGTCATAAGGTAAGTCAAGTGTTCAGATATAGCCATTTTCGTCAGTATGTTCCACAATTTATCTCATCTAACATCGTCAAAAGCTTAGTATAATCGACAAAACATGTAAATATCGATATCTAATATTTTCTCGCTTTTTCTATGATTTTTCTCACATTAAGAATTTGTTCTCATTTCTGACCTTTATAGATCCAGACTGATCAGGTGCTCTTTGCCTTCTTGCTGTCAGTCTGTGGGTGATTGAAGGTAGTGCTTCGGAAGTGATGCCGACCTTGCAGCGGCTACTCTGCTTCCGGATATATCAGGAATAATGCAATAAAAGCCTGTTGCTTGGTTTTTTGTTAAGTACTTTTAGAGCAAATTCAACCTTGGAGAAAAGTATGTCAGGTTCGGATTCAGACTGTAATGTCGCTGTTTGAGAGAGGAGTGCGTCACTGCTGAAGAACTAAAAGCCTTACTCTATGTTGACATGAGGTGTCAGCGAAAAAATGATCTATATAAAGACTTATATAGATATTACGACCTCTAAACATCTATCTTTGTCCAAATGTGTCTATATTGCCCTCATCATCTTTTTTTTTATTTATTTACGCTGTAACCACCAGGGTTATCAGCGAAAAAATGATCTATATAAAGACTTATATAGATATTACGACCTCTAAACATCTATCTTTGTCCAAATGTGTCTATATTGCCCTCATCATTTTTTTTTTATTTATTTACGCTGTAACCACCTGGGTTATTAGCGCTTTATGTGTTTTATTTATGTATATTTTAACATATTTATTAAATATTTTGCGATTTCGTTTACAAGTGCCTCAACATTGGTTGTAATAAGCTGTCGATATGGTCTGTCTTTTTGCTATAAATTTGGTAATAATTTGGTAGTTTTATGAGAGAAAATCCAAGATATTAGAGTAGCTCACAGATCTAGGAAAATTAGTCAAAATCGCGATATAATCGTAGACTATTATAATTATAGTCTATATTAATTATATTGATTAAAATAAACCATATTTTCTCAATTTCCATTTGTTATTTACTCTATAGAACTTTACACGACGAGCGTGTACGTTTAAAATAGCCTAAAATATATTTGAAAAATTCAACAGGCTTAACCGATTGTATTTGTGAAACTTATTACAAATTTCTTATAGTAGAATTTGGTGTTATTTAACATATTGTCTATTTTGCCTTGATTGCTGCCAATTGTTGTTGCTACCAATGTTTATATTTTCATATTTTTCACATTCAAGTTTAATTTAGTCTAAACATTATACATATCTAACTTCATTTTCTTTTTGTTACAGCACCTGAAACGCAAACACAGTCAGTGTGCAGCATCTTAAGTGATATGTATTCCTTGGGAATGGTGATATGTTCAATTTTTAATAATGGAAGATCGCTGATACAGGCCAACAACTCTACTTCGGCTTACCTTAAACAAATAGAACTGGTAAGTAATATTTTATAGCAGGAACACATACTTTTATAGTAAAACTAACCACAGTCTTCTCTATGATTAGCCTTTTCTATTAATATTGTACCTGGCTTCTGGTATTTCGATTCATTATCATCGTCAATGATGTTTTAACTCTTCATGAGTTTTTGCTATGTTTACTATTGTCTTTTACTTTTATCAGGCCTGTGTCACTATTTCCCATTGACCTATTCTTTCCAAATCGTCTATGATTGCTTCTTTCATGTTTTCTTAGGCCATCTTACTGCTCTTTTCCTATCTGATCGTTTCCAAAACACATCGTTTATGAGTCGGAAATTCCTACTCCGTATCACATGTCTGCGCATCATATTCTATTGGCATTTATGTATCTCAATCTTAGTAGCTAGCTTAGCAGCTATGACACAAGAGTTCGATTCTCGGAACCAACAACGATAGTTTTATTTCTAAAAATAGTATGAGTCATCACCGTGCATCTAAGGGCACGCCGGTCTTCTTGGGCCAGTGTACTTAATGTTTTTCTACTTTAAAAGTAGAATATAATTAAATTACAAAATAAAACTAACCGAGCAAATAATGATAATGGAATAATTCTAAAAATATGAAAAAATGAGTTCTTTGTCCCGGTTCCGTTGGAATTATCTAACTTTAGATTCCGCCTTAGTTCAACGTTCAATGCTTCAATTCACTGTTAGTCTGGGTGGTTATGGCCGCATTTCTATATATATATATATATATATATATATATATATATATATATATATATATATATCACACTAGACTTTTCTTTCTAAACAGATTTTCTAATTCGTTGGTTTATGTACTCTTCTATTTGGTTGTTACATCTCTGCAACGGCAAAAGTCGAAGAATTTTTCAAGTTTTATCCAACTTATTATATGGAAAATCAACATCCTTCCAACTGCGTATATAAACACACACAAAATGCTTTACAACACCTTCATACATATACGCTTTACCAATTACACAATCTCACAAACAAATAAACGTATGAACAAAACAAACAAAACAACATAACACACAGATAATAACAACATAGAAATACCAAAACTTATCAACAAACACACCAAGTAAGTACCTCTGCAAACTTATTGCAACAATCGAATTCAATCACAAGGACAGGAGAAGATTGGTTTTCTGTGGTTTCCCAATCTTATTGCATAATAATACCTGATCCTAGGTGAGGATATAACCATAGCTAACCTCCACACGCTAAACCAAAAAATAAAAGGATTGACAATCCGAAGGAAGCCGTTTGTTTCAATAGAACTTGTACATGGTAGCGTCCTTGGTCCAAACCGGCGTGTAACACTCCAAACTGACAAGTACTGTTCAATAATTGCCACATACAGTACTAGGAGAGCGGTGATAGCACAAACTTATGTTTCGCAACCCAATATCCCATCTTTGAATAGGCACAGAACCTAAACAAGGTAAAAACGTTCGGATCTTAAATAGTATCGAGTTTCTATGCCAGTAATTTTTATTAATTTTTTTATTGTTAGGGTTTATTTTCGCTTTTATATGATGGTTTGTCATGTTATGGTCTTGTAAATTTTGAGATGGGTTTCTCATAAAGAAAGTTTTGATCTCATCACATGTTAAAATACATAGACACATCTATTTTTGCCATTTTTAGGCAAATTTAAACTCCCCATTTCACTTTGTTATCGTTGGTGATTGTTTCTCCAATATATTTGCAATATTTGACTAGGTACGTCGAAGTTATGGCACTTCGTGTACTAGTAGTAGTCGGGTAGTAGTAGTCTAGTAATTTTCCTTCTCTAACATTCCTGCCTGTTAAAAAATCATTTTTAATTTTTTTTTAATTCATATTTAGGACGATATTAATGCAGCTTCTTCAAAACTGGAGAACATGTACTAACTTTCTCTGTTGATTGTGTTACTGCATTTAGATCATCAGCAGACGCGAGAAAAATATTTTTTTATAGCAGCTATGTAGTGCTTAATCTTCGAATAAATTTTTCTCATGGGACATTCCAATGCTGCTTTAAATAACAATGGAAGCAGAAGAGCACTTACTTTTAATTTACAGATCATACACAAAGTATATGATATTTTCCCCTTCTACTCTATCTTTTTAAAATAAGTAATTTACAAGAGAAATCATAAGATTTCCTACAAGGCGAAACTGAATTCAAATTGTTACCACTGTGCTTTCTATAACTTGCGAAGCAAACAAATTGATGAATTATTCGGCAAGGGAATCTAAAATTTGCATTTCACATGCCGTTCCTCATGGTCAAAAACTGTAGTGAATTCAGTTTCTGGTACTCCAAACAGAGTAACAAACCAGTTTTGAATGGTTAAAAACACCTTTTGAATTCTATATATACCAGCGATTTCTTTAAAATTTGCTATGACAAAGTTACCTTGGTAGATTTTACGAAATTAGAAATTTTTTGCTACCAGTGGCGTACCAACCATTGGATCAATTTCATACAGAAATTTATCCATAGTATTTATTGTCTTCGTCAAACTTCACAATGTTGGATGGTGAGAGATTTTCTTAGAATTTTAAGATAATCCTCCTAAAATTTAAATTACATGTTTTGGATTTATCTGCTTACAATGTACAAGACAATGCCAATTTGATAAATTATTTCGACACTTGTGTTGAGCGTGTAATCGTAGAGAAAAATAAAATGTTTTTTAATAACCAACCATCCATGTATTTGTGGCAATTGACCAACTGATTGAAAATTACTTTCTGTGTTAAAAAATAAAATAAATTTTAATAATACAATATATTTTTAACGTCAAAATATAAATAAAAATAGATACTAAAGCAAACTTTTTAGTACTAAATAATTTTTAAGTATGTTTATTTAAGTAGAATTATAATATCCAAAACTTCTACTGATTAATTACCCTATTTAGTATCTTAGTCGAAAACTTCCGCAAAGTTGGTACTTCATTTCTAATTATGGAAGATATTTCGTTTCTAATTAAGAGAATGTTTTTCTTAAAGATGAGACTCTCTAAGGCATTTTAAATTATTTTGGTTTAATCCCCAGGTTAACGAGCAACCAGGCGAACGGAAAATTAAGTTTCGGAACAGACAGAAATCGTTACAAGTTAATATTACGTATATAAGAATTTATGTATTTTTATTTTGTTTTACATTTTAAACAGTGTCTATGTAAAGTAATTTTACTATAATGTAACTGATATTTGGATTTCACATTACAATATAGATGACCGTACCTCAGAACAAAAGTGTATTAAGTCCCAAAATATAAATTTTACAGGAGATATTGTACATTTAGTACAATAAATTTTATTTCGAAAATTCTTATAAATAGGAATAATGATCATTGTTCTTTTTACCACTAAAAAAAAATTTTTTGAATACTACTGTTTTTGGAAAAAAAAATGAACTTGACGTATGTTGGCACTGAAAAACAAATTTTTGACTGTGACTTAACATTAATTTTCCACCTATCTTATGGCAAAATATCCATTATGGAAAACATCATACCTATTTTACAAAATTAAGGAAATGTTTGGATTTTGTTTAGGAGACTATACGGTAGTTTTTGTAACAAAGCCATTACTACGAGCAAGTAAAAAAAAACTAGAAAAAAGTTGAATTAAAAAACAGGAATGGTCGTAATATAACTGTATTTTTTTTTATTTAAGGAGACAAAGTCGCATCCACCCAAAGGTTATTAGCGACATTGCTGTAACATTTGTAATAATATTAAATTTAACATTTGTAACATTTAATTAATTTAAATTTTTGTGTAACATATTTATACATTTTAAGTAACCTAATAAATTGTCCATAACTAAACTTTTGTTGTGAAGTGCTTTCAAGTTATAAGCAAATTGTAAAACTGTCTTTGATTTACATATTTAGGACAGTCTATCAAGAAGTGTTTTATACTGTCTACTGTATTGCATGTTTCGCATTTTGGAGGTTCACTATTTGAGAAAAAATAGGCATGAGTATACCTACAGTGTCCAAGTCGTAGACGTGTAGTAATAGTTTGGCATCTTCTACTTCTGGCTGTGAACTTCCATAAAAAAATGTTACTTTTGATGGTTCTGAGTTTTGAACTGGAGTCAATCTTCTCTCGATTCCACGAACTTAACATCTTATTTTTGAATAAACTTTTAGATCGCCTGCGACACTTCAACACTCTGTTTCTGATGCGTCACTGGTGATAGCGTTACGCGCACTAGTATTAGTTTCCTGTAGGCATATTGCATCAGGAGATTGTTCACCAATTAGATGTTATAAAATAGCAAGGCGATGGAAAAATCCATTAATATTCCACTGAAGTAGAGACTTGAATTTTAATGTTGGCTTAATTGAGATGTGTAACTTTTCGCGTCCGATATCTCACTGTCCAAATAATTTTTTTCCTTATGGACATGAATTTATGTTTTATGGATCTTTCCTTTAAATGGGGGTAAACTTGACTAAGCATAAGGGACAAAGCTTATAGGTCTGTAGTATATAGTATATTCTTCTGATTTTGCTTGGACTGTAGTTGGTTGAAAAATGCTTTTGAAGATGGCTCTGCTTTGGTGGAAATAATTTTATCAAAGTTACGTTTTGGTTAATTAATTATGTGACTGTCCTTATTTGATGTGTCTACTTTGTCGATATCTCCGGGATATTAGAAATAGACAGTTGTTCACATTGAGAAGGGTTTGTGTCATTGGGTGCTTGCAAGGATATATTTGTTGCCTGGATACCGATGCTTCATTGTTATGGTTAGGGTTTAGTTGAGTTAGTGGTTCGGAGCACTGTGAAGCAATGTGACCTGGCTTTTTGCATCTAAAGCAAACTAAACTGTCTTGAGAAATGAATATTCTATATATTGTGTTATCAAAAACAAGAGTAAATACCTCTGGTAATGTTAGACTGTGAGGACTGATATAGATTTGTATTCGAAAACTAAGGATGTGATTAAACTCAGGCATAGAACCACTAATTTTGGGAAAT